CCTTGAGCAGCTTGGTGATTAATGTACGGGAGTTACGGGTGCTACAGCGACTGGGGGATATCGCGTTGCTGCCCGAGCTGTTGAGACCCTCCAGCTTCGGAGCGGGCGGGGCAGCGGAGCTGCCGCAGGTGGGTGTGGGCGGTGTGCGTGTCTGTATTTGTGTATCTGTTACATATCGATCCGGGCCTGACGCTGGCCAGGGGTACCTAACCGCATACCCCAACGGGAACGACCGCCGAAAAGTGTAAGTGTGTATGTGAGTGTGTTAGGGGGAAGGAGGGCAGGGGGGCCGGGTAAAGGGCCGCTGGGGGGAGGGTATAAAGAAGAACAAGGTGAAGGACGAGGGGAGGAGAGGGGGGGAAAGGTTTCTTCAGCACAGGCGAAGCGCACTTCTCGATTCTTGAGCGGTGAAGACCTCCACCCGGGGAAGAAGGGAATGTGGGACGGTGTTGTTTGGGAGGGAAGCAGCGGTGCTGGTAGTGGTGGTGGTGGTAGTGGCAGTGGAGGTGCTCCTGCTGCTGCTGAACGGAAAGCGGTAGTAGCAGCTTGCCTCACCACCGCTGCGTCGCTCGCTCCCGGCCTTTCGCCCGCACTCAGCCACCACCCCGGAAGGAAGACGTAAAGGCACGGACACGAATTTGGATATATGACAATATCGCTTGTTGCTCAAGGTCATGAAGATGTCTCCTTTCCTTCCCCCGCGCTCCGAAACCCTAAACCCCTATCCAACCCTGTTCCCGATAATGAAATACACACAGACAGACATATCTGCTCCCTCTACTGTATACCTCCTGCAGGTTTGGCCACAAGACGCTCGTCACGAGCCGTACTACAAGTACCTGTACGGCCAGTACGACGTACCTCAGCGTGAGGCCATCGTGGCAGCTGCCGCCCACCTCGCCACCCCGGAGGATCTGGCGGAGGCGGAGGGGCGGGGGATTGCTACGGGGGTGGGGAACGGTACGGCAGCGGTGACGGCGGCGGCGGCGGCGGGTCCGAGGCCACTGGTGCCTCCCATCACTCTGGTACAGGTGAGAGGTACCCTACTTGGGAGAGAGGGGAGGGGGGGAGATAAAGATGAACGTTATTACCAAACACACAATTGTCGGTAATGCTCTGGGTTGCCTGTGTGGGTGTGGGTGGGTGGGTGGGTGTGTGCGTGTCTCTATGTGTGTGTGGATGATTTAGTTATTCTGTGTTTTTAAAGCGGTGTGTATCAACGTTAACAAAAACTATGCATTTAAACACATTGGACAGTCCAGTATTGTTAATGTATACTGTTCCACTCGCTAAATGAGCTTTATAAAACATTTTCTAGATAGTATTTTTAATTTTTTCATATAGTTTTCCTAGCGTAATGCGGATTTTAATATTTTTTTTTATTTTTATTTTCCCCTTTTTAAAAAACAACACGCTTGTCCCTAGAGGGATTGGAAGCCATTTGGGGATAACCGAGGGTTGCCCCAAAGGTTTGTCCACAAATTTGTAATAAATGGTCTTCCATACCAAAATTAAACGAATCATATGCTAAATCCGCGATCGGCATACGCTCAGTTCTGGGTTGGTTTCGCTCGTGGCTTTGGACTCGTCCGACAGTTGGCCGTTGGTGGTGCTTCGGAACCAACAACAGTCAGCGGTTGTTCACATTCTCTCTTTTGCCTTTTGCGTGCCCTAATTCCCCTCCCCCCCGGATCCCCCGCCGTCACCCCTTCACCGCCCACAGGGCCCTCCCGGCACGGGCAAAACCCACACGGTTCGAGGCATCCTGAATACCTGGCACAGCATCATGTACCACCGCCACCACACCGCTTGGCTGCGTCGCGCCCGGGATATCCTCACGCGCTCCTCGTCCGGCGCCGGCGGGGGCGGCGGCGGCGGCGGTATGCTGGAGCTGTACTGCGGCGGCGGCGGCATCGGCAACGGCGGCGGCGGCACCTTGCTGGACGCTTTGTCGCAAGCCCCCCTGAATGCTCCGAAACCGCGGATCCTGGTCTGCGCGCCCTCGAATGCCGCCACGGACGAACTACTGGACCGCATCCTTACGGACGGCTTCTGCGATTTTGGCGGCGCGATTTACAGGTATGTACTGTATTCACATGTTTGTATGTATGTATGTATGTATGTATGTATGTATGTATGTATGTTGTTACAGGGTGGTTAACTTCGCCAGCGGCCCCTTTCCCGGGGCAGTCCCTGCTCTCCCCTGCTAGAGGGGCACCCTAATCCGTCACCCCATCCGACTTCAGAATGTATTCGTTGGGTTCGGCAACTCACCACCAGCATCCAACCAAATCTAGCGGATCAACGGCGCATCAACTTAGTTCCTGGTCAGCTCGCAAGTTGATTTGATGTATGTATGTATGTATGTATGTATGTGTTGCGGGGGGAGAGGGGAGATGGGGAAGGGGTGCGTGGTTGCGATGGCCTGATGGTAGGGGGATGGCGGGGAAGCCGGAGGCGAGAAGGCGGGAGGGGAGAGGGTGGGGGGGGAGCTGTCCGGTGGCTGGGTGTGTGTGGGGGGGGGGAAAGGGTAGCGCCGAGGAAGAGTGGTAGAGGCGGTGGGGGGGAGCTTGTGGAAAGCAAAGAAAAAGGAACACACAGCAAATCCCCCCCATCTACATACATACGTACATTTCGGGGGTTAGGGTACACATACACATACACGCGATATATTGCCCGTGGTTGCCACACACACCCTCACAGCATCGCCTTCTCGCGCGCCATCTTCTCGTCCCCCAAAGAAATAATAAAATCCCCACCGCGCCTACACGACGTTACCCCCCCCCCCCCAATCAAAGGCCCAACGTGGTTCGTGTGGGTGCTGAAGAGGCGCCCTTGTCCGACGCCGTGAAGGCGGTGTGGACGGAGGCCATGATCAACCGCTACGAGGCCATGGACCCCGAGTCGTGGGCAGTCGCTTACAAGGACTGCGAGGGCCGCATTGCCAATTGCAATGTTTACATGGCGGCCATGGCGGCGAAGATGGCAGCAAAAGGAGGCGCCGGCGGGGGAGCGGCGGGAGGGGGAGGGGGAGGGGAAGGGGAAAGTGATGGCGGAGGCGCAGCACAGGTACGACCAGGCCTATCGTCCGTGTCTTCGTGTGCGAGTTTATTTTCTTTAACTTTGAAAAAAGGGGAGGGGGTTTAATGCACACCTGAAAACCTCCTCACCTCGCCCCTTGTCCGGGATCCGACACCTGGACGGCCCTGGCGCTGTGAGGCCGTACTGTACGGACTCCAGGAATGGCTCTTTGGCTCTTGATGCACATGTCCCTTCACTACTATATATCCCCCTTTTGCCGCTCTTCTCTATCCGCTCTCCCCCGAAACACACCCCCAGGACCTGGACCGCATGGCGGCGGAGTTAGTCCGCCTTAATGACCATCTGAACAGGGCCCGAGAGGAAATGGCGCGGCTGGACCGCATGGGTCAGTGGGGGGAAGGGGGGTAGGGGGGAGGTGTGTATGTATGTTTGTTTGTTTGTTCGTTCAACTATCTGTATGTCTGTCTGTTTATCTGTCTTTCTGTTTACCTAGCTGCCTACCTGGCTAGCTGGCGGGTGATTCGGTTTTGTGTGAGCACCGCGCGCGTGAGCTCTCTCCCCATCCCTCCGGCCCCCCTGCCCCGCCGGAGAGAAGGCCTTCTATCCTCTACCGTTGCCGTTGTTCGTTGTTCGTTCCTCTGTCTGACCATGTACGGCATTGGTGTGTATCTGTAATTTTATTGTTATTTTAATTAATAACCACCACTAGCTTCACATTC